TGACTCAGATCTTCATAGCGGCTGTTAAAAGCCTCCAGTTTCTCACTGATGATGTCATCTAGGATCCCCCCATCAATCAGAGTCTGGCCAAGTTCCCGAATCTGGGTGCGATTATCTGCTGGGTGGCGCAAAACAGATTCCAGAGACTGGACCAGGGACACAGAAAGAAATATTTACTAGGGCAAAATAGATCAAAGATCCTAAAACTATGCCATTTAAAAAATAATAATAATAATATATATATAATGTGTAGAAATCTACCTAAGGAATCATACCAGAAGTTAGGTAAACAAGTAATGAAAAAAATTATACATCATGATATTAATAAGTTAATAAAACTAAGAAATCAGCATGAATGAGAGATAATTATACAATTGCATAAAAAATAATTTCAAAAATTATTCATTATATGAGAAATTCCCATAATATATGAAGCTTGGAAGCAGAAGCAGTACCTTACCAACAACATTATCTGAACTGTAAATAATTATGTTACTAAAAAAATAGGACTCATGTACCTATAAGATATACTAAACACTAAACACTGTTTGATATACACACTTTTATTTACATAAATCTAATTAACCATGAGTTAAATATTATTCCCATTTTGCAGACTGGGAAATTGAAGCTCAGAGAGATGAACTAACTAGTCTATATACACCCAACTAATAAAAAGAAGAGCTGAGATTCCAACTTACTCCTAAGCTACTATGACCCAGTGCATCAGTACATGTTCATAAAAATAATAATTAGGAAGAAGTATACAAAGTATGTGTTTACTTTAAAGTTTGCTTTTTACTTTTTTCTATTTTCCAAGCTTCTAGAATGTACATTTACTTTCAGATTAGGAAAATGGGTTTTCTTAAAGTAAGCTTCCCATTATTGTTCATTCTCTCAATTCCTCACTCTGCTGTATTTGAGAAATGACAGTTTCTCTCTAGCAAGGCATCCATCTCCTGGAATGTAGGTCCCACAGTTCACTTATTTCTGACCTTCAATCCAATCATCCATTCAGTGCCCACAGAGCACCTCTAACGTTTAAAAGCATATCCACCCATCTCTTCTTTTTTTTTTCTTAAGTGAACCTAACCTTGTTGAATTACAATTCCTTTAAGAAACAGTAATGAAGGTATCCTGTGTCTCACACTGCACTGTAACAGAAAAACACAAAGAATCGGGAGCATTTGTTGGTCCCCAGGAGCTGGAAGACGAGCCTTAAAAGACCAGCTCTGATGAGGAGACCCCCAGTGTCCACTACTGCCCACACCAGTCTCTAACTTGCAACATCTGGAGAGGATGGACCAGAAACGGCTGTAAGCACAGTCATTGCTGTGCTTAGTGAGTAAATATAACTAGTTAGCAGCTGTCCTAATAACATTCAGAGTTTTGTCCAGGGATAGGGAAAATGAACTGGAAACCCACTAGAGAGCTGGCTTTATCATCTAGAAGGCACTAAGTGCCACACAGCTAACCACCTTGGAGGCTTATGCCATAAGGTCCCGTTCCTCTAAATCAGCATGACTGCAAAAGCATGGCAGGCGACTGAGGAAAATGAATCCCAAGGAAAAGCACTGAGGAGGCAAACCCATGGGCCATGTAAAGCCCTGTGCTCCTCATATTGACAAAAGTTTGTTCTCCCGGCAACAGACAAAAACACCACCCAGAACACTGGATCCCACCTCTAGGGCTTCATTGACTGTATCCGTCCTCTCTGGCAACGCCTCTGTGCTCTTCACCCGCTCCTCCAAAGTGTTCAACCAGGTGGTTTCAAGATCCAAATAGTGAAGCAGTTCAATCCAGCAAGACCACACCTCCTAGAGCACGCAAAGAAAAGGTTTCAATTGTCCAGAAACCACATCATATGTTGTATCTCTAGTGTTGCACATTCTCCTCAATCAATAATAATTTCATCTAAAGATAAGTAGGTGTGGGAATTTGAAACTGATGAAGTTGGAATTCCCAATAAGTGCAAGAAAATTGAATTTGTCAATAAATTATACTAGACCAATTAAGGTGGGGGGGGACAAGGAGAACTGAGATAGAGACTGTCCCACTATTTACATTAAAATACATTCCAAGGATCTAATGCCAAAAATAAAACTATGTAATAGAATTAAAAAAGGAACAATATTAGTTTCTTAAACAGAAGGTAAAGATCACTCATAACTGCAATATTTTAAATAATTTCACAGAAAATAAAAATCTCCTGGTGCACACTCAATTCCAACTCAGAGCTCACTGATATTAATAGTTTACTATGTTGCCTTTCCAACTGTGTTTGGATTCCTGAGGACAGGTCTATACAAGAAGAAAGCCACAGTTTTATTTTTGTTTTTATGGGTTTGTTTTTTGGTTTTTTTGTTTTTGTTTTTTTGTGGTGCTGGGGATTGAACCCAGGACCTTTTGTATGTGAGGCAAGCACTCTATCAATTGAGTTATATCCCTAGCATGAGAAAGGCACAGCTTAGCCAAAAAAGGAGTTATACTATCTTTACTGTGTTAGTTGCAATTACTTGTTCCCCAACTATAAGGTTTCTGGAGAACAGACTGTTGAGGAATGCATCCATTTATACAATTATATTCCTTTATTCCATATAAAAGAAACTTATCTGATGAAAGAATTTAGGAAAGTACTCAGATCCTAGCTTTCTGGGTTTGTTCTTTTTTAGATCTACTGACTAGGTGGAGGCACACTCTTCTCTGTGTTCTGGGTAAGGTCTGCTTACTAGAATAGGGGTCAGTAAGTATTCTGTAAAGAGCCAAACAGAAAATATTTTATTTTTAGGGGCTACATCCAGTCTCTATCACAGATTCTTCTTTGGCATGTGTAGGTGGGTAGGTAAGAGAGTTTGTGTGCTTTTTTCCAACTCTTCAGAAATACATAGAAATCACTCTTGGTTAACCAAGTGAACAAAACAAGCCACACGCTAGATTTGAGCCCTCAGTCATAATTTGCTGACCCTTGGCTTAGAGAAAAAGGAAAAAGAGGTTTCTAGTCCCCCAAATTTCTATAAGCAACAGATAGAGAAATCTGTTTATATTCAAGTTCAATCTCCTTTCTTACAGGAAAGAGCGGACAGTGGAGAGATCCCTCCCAAGGACAGAACTGAGCCCTGATCAAGCTGCTTCCTTACTGGCTGGTCTCAATTATGCATATTTACTTCAGCACAAATAGAATCAGAACAATCAAGTAGCAAGTGAATTTCTTAAAACACTACTTTGACCTTTTTTTTTTTAATTTACCATTATAGGATTTAACATGATATAATCATTTGTTCTAGGTTGAACTGAATTTATTGTTATCAATTAAAATGCTTCTTAAATCTCTCAACGAGACTCTAATGAAAAAAAATCTTTCTACAAGATATAACAAAAATCTTATAAAAACAAACAAGTAAAATCTTAATTTTATTAAATAATCGCATAGTATCATCTACATCTCTAATCTAATGGCAAAAAAAAAAAAGGTATTTTATCTAAGGTTCAGCAAAATACCAACATTTTGTTTTGTTTTGATGCCAGTGTTTTAAAGGTCTTTTTTCCTTCGGGTAACCCTCTTAACTTTAGACACTCAGAATAAGAAACTTCTGTTCATGGGAGATGTCTACAGTACATTGTGGAACTGGTTGACTGGAACAGACCCTGTGAATCATCTGTACATGAAAATCTTGATGCACATGTGAAAAAATTCAGGATAAAGATATTAAAGGACTTTCTAAAGAACTTTCTGATAACTGGAGACAGAACTTGGTTTCCTCTTTTTAATCTCTCATTTTTAATCAACCTATTCCCTTAAAACCTTTTTCTTTTTGATCCAATATATGGGAGAGGGATGGATGCTTTTTTTTTTAACCAAGATATGGAAATGATCAATACATTAAAGAGTTTGGATCTGAGAAATGTTTCACTGAAAAAAAACATATATATTATACCTCTAGTGTGTGGCACTTTCCTCGGATTCTATTACAGAGAAGTTGATAATTCTCCAGCACCACGTTCAGCTCAGACGTCAGTTCCTGGCCACCAGAGGGCACCTTGGCAGCTAATAATTTGATGTTGTCCTTGAGAATCTTCACTCTCACCTCCTTCTGCAACACATCCTCTTTGGCTCTCTGTTCCAAGAAAGGATGAACTTGAAAAATGTCTCCCTATATCCATAACTACTTTCTTTTATTTTAAAAAATGAAACAAAAATTAAAGTATTTTACATGATTCCAACAGCCTACCTGGAATATTATTTAGGTAATCACTACCTTCAGTGCTTCTAAAGTAAGGATGCAGAGTAAATTTATACAGTGAGGCAAACAGCCCCAACAAAGTTTTATTTAATAACATCCAAGTTATCCTACATTGTTTACCAACACGAAATATTTTCAAATTATGGCTCTGAGATAACAATGTAAGTGATTTCATTTAAACTAACCACTTAAGGTCTGAGCATACTGGATAGAAATAGTGAATCTACACCAAAAAATTGAGTGGCACCTTGGCAGAGGCAACCTTTAAAAAGTCCTACAAATAAATGAAGCAATTTTTTTTCCTCCTAGAACATAGGTTCATCTATTCTCCTGATAATGAACAGCAGTTCAAAGATGATAAAGTTACACTGGGACAATCTGATCCCAAAATAGCTGCTTCCTGACCCTCCCTCCGTGCTCCAGACGAATCATCTCACAGTCAAGAAAATAGCCTTGTCTTTCCATTCTGCTTTCTTTTGTGTTAATGGTTTTTAAGATTCCCAAGGCTGGGACAGGGGTGGTCATTAAAGACAGGTACTTTTAAATCCTTAATGGCTGTTTGGAAGAACAAAAATAGATTGTTACCCAGTAGGATTTTAATCTCATTTTTCTCAGCCCTCATCTAGAGTGACTTACAAAAGGTCAAAGAACTATACAGTCAATAGTGTCAAAGAAGCGACTAAATGAGACACTTTAAAATATCTTATATACTAAAATTGTAAAAATCTTTCAAAAAGAACTACACCAAAAATATTTCAGTGATAGTGTTCTAGCTTAAATAGTAGTCTCTTGTCCTAGAAACATTGGCTCCCATACAGTTTGCATGAACATAATAGAGGCCCTTTTTTCAAAAACACCTGTATAGAGTTTTTTGCTTTAGTTATACTTTCAGGCAAGTTAACTGGGTGTAAATATGTGCCATGCTGCTTAATCTTATAGAAAAAAAAAAAAAACTTTAACAGACTTCTACCTCCTTTGGCTTGAACACTCAAGGACAATTGAAGCAGTGTTAGAAGTTTGGGATGATGCCCAGTTCTTTTATTATATATATATATAAAGAGAGAGTTCAAGACAACTGACACAGGAATATAAGTTTACAGGAAATACATCCCGTGAATCCAACTGATATCCTCACCTCTGACTCCCTCCTACTGCTCCTCTTACCTCTCTCGGGACATTCTGGTATCCACACATGCCCCAGGGACTGGAAGGAAGATCACTACCTTGTGAAATGAGGATGACTTCCAACCAACTTCAGATGTCTCTCTTGTTCCTCATAAAACTAAACTCATCCTGAAAACCTTTTGAATTAGATCACAGTAGAGGCTGCACACCATTATAATTAATACCACTGAAATGGGCACTGAAAAATAGTTAAAATGGCAAATTTTATGTTATATATATTTACCACATTAAAAAAATTATAATTCTTCCTCATACCCACTACCAGATGTTTTGGAGTGCCTCTCTGTGGCTGCTCATGGTCTCATCCTGAGACTGTCCCTGGGGCTCTCCTGGATTTAACTCATGGGTCAAGTTGAACCAGTGGATTCTTAGCCTCCTTTCCCCACTAAAATCATCATGGCTATCCGTCCTTATATACAAACACGTATGTATTTTCTTTTCTTTCTTTCTTTTTTTTTTAAAAAAAATTTAAATCCCAATGTGAAAGAGGAGGTGAACATCCAGTTCTTTACAGCTTGTTAGACTGGTTGGCTGGTGTTCAAGGGAGTAGAGGAGGTGTGCAGCCTATGCACACACTGATTGCCCATCCTCACCTTCATTTCTTCCACAGCACTCTCAAGTTCTTCTGGTGACTTGTATTCAAAATCCCTCTCCAGGTATTCTTCTTCAGCCTGGGTCATCCACTCCTGCATCTCCGCCAGGTCTTTCTTCAGGTTCACTGCTTTTTCCTGCCTTTCAGACAACCTATTTTTCTGAACAGCAATCTAGAAAGGAAAAGCCATTTCCCCAAATAAACAAATTTTAGTATATTAAATATCAAGCTCTAGTTTTTCATATTTGAAGACATTGATAATTTCCTATAAAGAGTCTTACGTTTTAATATTCAGGCAAAACCTGTTCTGTATTTTGTGTGGATGCTGTGGAATAGCAATAATGAAAACAAGAGCATCACAGGACTTCTCTATCATATTGTGGATATTAACCTAATCTGGAAGTATCTATTATAATTTTGAAAATGTATAAATTTTGACAGAGTAATCCCAGATGTAGGAATCTAATCTATAGCAATAAAAGCACATAGGTCAAATAGACTTATAGCTCTGTTCATTATGAAAAGAAAACAATAAATAACAGAAGCAACCAAAATGATCCTTTTATGAACTCTATTAAGATTTCACTTTTAAAAAGCAGACACAGGCAGGTTATTAGTAATGATTTTCATAAAACACTGTTCTGTAAAATTTTGGTTTTGATAATCTACTATACCAGACACACACAAATGATACATTAGAAAGAAGATAATTGCCTGAATCTGGTTCACCACCTGAGTTAAGTATTTCAGAGAAGTCTAGGAATATTTTCAGAGAGCTCCCCACCCATCCACAAATCCACTTCCACTGTGAGAAGACATATTACAGAGCAGCAGTTCAACCCTCCCCTGACAACCCCAACCTCTTGCTCAAACTCAATTTCACAGTTTGACCACCTTGCCAAGACTTGCTTGGCTGCTAAGCTGACAGTAACCAAAGGCCACTTACAGAGCAGAATGGCATTCACAAGGGTAAAGGTTAAGTAAGAGTTAGCAGCTTTCCTGTCCCCTCCCTCCAAACAGGATCTCAGTCCTGAAAATAGACAGGGAGCTTTTATTCTACTGCCCCATGGCATTCTGAGAACCAGACTAGTTCACAGAGCCGGGCTATCATGCCTGCTAACCAGCAGCCCACCTGGTAAGCTCTTTGCAACATTATTTTATGTGTGCATGTACATATGTACATAAATTCTCTTTGTTAACACTTTCCAAATAGTAGTCAGTTTTATCATTTTCAGGAATTTACAGAGAAATCAGAAAAATAATGACACTGTGGTGAGGTTTCTTTTTTGTTGTTTTTTGGGAGTTTTTTTAGAAAAAAAACTCACAATTACATACTTTCTAATTTGGAACATTAATATATTCTTTCTTTCAATGATAACATGGATAGAATAGATGTGATAGACTGCTCTTGTTTGTTGATTTGTTTTATACGCCTATCATTTCCCATTTTCAACAGTTTTATCAGTCAATGAAATATAGCTGTCTGGATCTGATCTAAATAATTACACAATAACATGTGGTTCCTTCCTTGCTGAGGACACTTAAAATTTTTCCACACATTTATTCCCACACTTGGAATAAAAAACAATTCACAATGAGTGCTATGTTGTCATATGTAGATGGATGGATGGATGGATGGATGGATGGTCGGACTGGATGGATGGACAGACGGATGGGCACATGTATGTTTCTCATTGCCACTTCTAAGCCATTTTCTCTATTTACTTTCTTAAAAACTCCAGCTCCTTCAAGCACATTCCATCTAATTATAGCACATATAGAGAAACACACATTGGCCAGCATATCAGGTGATGTTACAAAAAGATTATTTTCTTAAGTCTAATAACTCTATTGTGATTTTGGAGAAGAATGTCCTTATTCATGGGAGAAGCATACTCAAATATTTAAGGGTGGCCTGTCATGGTATTTTTCAATTCCCTTTCAAAAGTATATTTTTAGAAAAAAGAAAACAGAAGAGAGAGAGAGAGAGAGTATACACGTAAATGTGAGAAACATGAACAACTGGAAAATCTCAGAATGGGTTTATAGGTGTTCTCTGCATCATTATTTCAACTTCTCTTAACAGTTGAACATGTTCAAAAAAAGGAACTTGGCTAAAACAATAGAAACAAAACAAAATGTTCAGTGATGCAAACATAGACTGTTTTTCCCTATAAACACTAGCTACCCCCAGTTCTGAGAGTATCAGCAGAGTGGTCTTCCCCTGTATAGCCACAGAGGAACCCCCACAGCTGCTCCTTCACTTCAGCTATGGATCTCATCCCCTCTCACACAGACTTCGCTTCAGAAATTATCTCAATCTCTTTTGTATCAATCAATTTCTCCTTCCAAGTGAAGCCAGTCCCTTGGCAATCCTGCATTAGCCCTTATTACTTAAAACAGCAAAACCCTGTTTGAATCCCCCACCTTCAGCATCCACCTCTCTCCCCTTAAGAGAGAAATTTCTCAAACCCATTTTTTTCTCAAGGTCATTAAAAGCAGCCATCTTTTCAAAGCTAAAGCTTCATCTTTAGTTCTGGTGGCCTGAGCAGTCCTCAGCATGGGGCACGGAGAAAAGCCTTCCTCTCCTGGCCCCTGGGAGTACTCATTCCCTGGGGTTACTTCTCTACAGGTACCTGCCTTCTCAGCATCCCCTGATTCCCAGGTCACAAATGCTGAAAGTTCCATTTGCATGTCCAAAAGCATCTCAAACTTAATCCTTCACCTGCACCCACAGAAACTTCCCCTTGAACCTTGGTCACCACAGGAAAGAGCACCATAATTCATACAAAATGGAACCCCTGCAAAAAATCCCATCCTTGACCATTTGTTTCTTTCTTCTATCACGCGTCCAATATTCTATAGGAGTCCCATCTCTATTTTCAAAATATAGTCCAATCCTAGAATTTCTCACGACCTCCACCACTATCTCCCAGTCCAAGGGGCCATCCTCTCTCTTCAGACTGCAGGAACCTCATGTGTATTCTCCCTGTTTCCATTTTTGCCTTCCCAGAGCAAATTATCCACACGAAAACCAGACTGACCTCAAAAGATCAATCATATTGTCATTTCCCTGCTCAAAACCCACAAATTGGCTTGACATCACGCTTGAAGTAAACTCCAAAGTCCTTAGTTTCATGACCATTTCTAATCCATCTTCTGCCTACCTCTGACCTCAGATATTCCCATTTTCCGGCCCACTAACTCCTCTTACTCTATTCCAGCTACACTGCCCTCATTCCTTATTGAATACACCAAGCTTATTCTCACCAGAGAGCTTTAAAACACACTGTTGCCCATGTCTGAATATTCCTGCCTGAGCCTCATATGGCCCCTCTTCAATTGTCCCAGTCTCAGAAAGTCCATTCTTGGCCACTCTACTTGACTCAATCCCCATGACGCTAACTCCTGGTTATCTCCACCTGATAGAATTCAGAATTTGCCTTATTAGAATGCTAACTCCATAAGAGGAGAGTTTTTCTCATTTACTGCCATATCCCCAGTGCCTGCAATGATGCCTACCAATAGATATCTAATTAATAAAATATTCATCAATAGCTGGTTAATAAATATTTGCTGAAAAAAATAAATGATTGATGGCTGTAACCATAGGATAACACACTCAAACGTTCTGGGGTTAAGGCAAATCTCATAAACGTGTGTAGAGCTAGATTTTGAATAAAAAGAGTCAGGGAGTAAGTCCTGGGTCAAATCGAATAATTGATACTCTCATTTAATTAAAAAAAGGTATAAAAACATATATATATATATATATATATATATAAGCACTCTCTTGCTCCAACTTGCCACTCAGGCTGTAGTTATTCTGTACCACTGTTTTTGAAACTAGATGGGTTATAAAATCCGTTTTATTGATGAAAAGAAACCACTGTCTCCACTTCCTAAAAACCATAGAAAGTAAGTTAATCTCACCTCCTTGGTCATTATCTCCAGTTGGGTTTGGTAGTCAACCAGTCTCGTCTGCACCCAAGTTTTCATTCCAGCAGCTGGACAGCTTCGAAGGTTAGCCTCTATTTCTTTCATGTTTTTCAGAGATGATTCAATTGTTTCGATTTCACTAACAAATGCCTGAAAACATAAAATAAGCCTGTGTTGAATTCATGCCTATATAAGTAGATGCCATAATTATAGTTTGCCTGGATTCCTGCAAATATTATAAGAACAGTCTGCAGGGAAGTCAGAATTTTTAACTGCTTAAGAAATACTGTGCCTAAAGAAATCCATTTCACCTGGAGACTTCATAGAGCCATCTGCTAAATTAGATTGGAAATACTTGACTCTCAGTGGGGAAGACAGCTTTTAATTAATTTAGAGAAAAGCCTGATGATTTCACAAAGTATAAATTGCAATGCAGTATTACCAGCAAATTTCATTTGTTAAATATGTTTTCTTTAAAGCCTTGCCATGTGGCACAATAAGAGCAATGTACAATTGGTAATTACTACACAAAGACTGTCACTGTCAAATAAGACAGCAGCTCTTAGGAATCACAGTTGCTCTTGTTCTCTCTGTCCAAAATTCTATAATCATGACCAAAAGTAAAACTATGAATAATCTGTCATTCGTTTATTAGTTGTAAAGGCAAAAAAAGGGGGGGAGGGAGGGTTGTGATAAAACGTATCATATCTGGATTTAATGCATGTCTGATTCCTTTGTTGTTGTTGTTGTTGTTAACTCCTGGTTATCCCCAGGGGTACACTACCACTGCACTACATCTCAAGTCCTTTTTATTTGGAGACAGGGTCTCACTAACTTGGGGAGGCTGACCTTGAACTTG